ATATATATATATATATATATATATATATATATATATATATATATATATATATATATATATTATAGATGTTGGTTGATAATAACATATTGGGGTAAACATAACAACCAATCCTATTTATTAAAATACAAAGTGGGTGTACCCAAATATTTGAAGACGTTGATAAAAATGAAGTTATTGATGTGTTTGATTTGGTTATAAAAAAATTTGATACCTTTTTTTTTTTTGAATAAAAATTCAACATCTGGTTTTTGTTCATTTTATACTGTGATCTGTTTTATCAGTTATTTTTAACAAACATGATTATTTTCTTAACCAATAACTATTGGTTAACAAACAACTAAATTTCATCTACAACCAAAATAATCAGCTAATTTGTCATAAATACCCTGTTGAAACTCACGCATAATGAGTTAAGTGGGACAATTTGGAATTAAACCAGAACGTAACTTTCAACCCACTTATCTTAGAACGACAATTGTCTCCATTTTTTTTTTTCGCTTTTTTTTTACTGGTTACATTAGATGGACCATTTTGACAAAAACTTGTCGTTGAGGCGTATCGATTATACACAGTGATTTGAAATTTTGATTGCTTATTGATCTGTAAAAACCTTAGTTGACAAATGAGTGAGACGACTTTATTCAAATACAAGACATGTCATGTGTTCGATCCCAACCCCTAACCTCGGTTGCATCAATTTTCCTCACATTGGTGTCTTTATAGACTAGTTCCTTGTGAATCCGGTTAGAGTTACTAAGGGGTTGTTTGTTTATCTTTTAATAGTTCCACTAAAAAACAACCTATGAATCGTTAAGAGGTAAATCTTGTTTGACAAAAAAAAAAAAAATATGTCTCTTAGTGGTTCTAAAATCATCTGAATGATTTTGTATCTTGAATCTCCCTTAACCATTGAGAGTCCTAATTTCATTGTACACAATTACCAAACAATTATATTTCATTTTGTACTATATAATGAGAGCCACTTAATCATTCTGCACCGAACCATTAACCAATTCTCAAACAGCCCCTAAGAGGTTGTTTCTTTACCTCTTAATAGTTTCATTAAGAGGTAACATCTGAATCATTAAGAGATGAACAATTTTTGGCCAAAAAAACCCACCTCTTAATGGTTCTAAAATCATCTGAATAATTTTTCTATCATGCGTCTCCCTTAACCATTTAATTCAATGCCATAATTTTATTGTAAACAATTATATTTCATTTTGTATTATATCACGAGAGCCTCTTAATCATTATGACCACTTGATTATTCAGGACCACATCATTCAGGAACTACTAATCAATTTTTTTGTACAAATAATTTCTATTTACATGAGAAAATTGTTGAATATAATTTATATATGTTAATAAACAATATACATAAGGTGAAAAGTCATAATTTACTACACGACAAAAAAATAAATAGTCAATATACATTTATACAGTATTTCGAAAAGAGCAAAAAAAATGTATATTCGTATAACTTGAATTACTACAAACGTTGCTAACAATCCCAAATGAGAGAACCGCCGCCGTCCTCCGCCACCTGATCGGAGATATAATCCAGAAAACCATCAATATCCGCCACCGCCCACGACGGTTGCATCCATCTATCCACCGAGTCAACCATCACCAACTCAGTTGGCGACTCCGGTGAGTCCAAATACCCTTCTAAGTTCGGCAACTCAATAATCTCACCGAGTTCATCCACGGGACTACAACAACCGTCACCCGACGATGGTCGTAGAGGCGGCACCGGAGTTCCTGACGCCGGAAGATCCTGCATGGTGGCAGCTTTCGCCGCCGCTTCTTGGACGTCACGTGGCGATAGAGACGCTGGACGTGGTAACGAGTCTTTGAGTTGAGGAAAGTTAAGAATCGCTGAGGTACCTTTGATCGACAAGGCGGCGACGTCGTGAGCTCTCGCCGCCATCTCCGGCGTCGGAAAAGTTCCGAGCCAAATGCGGGATTTCTTTCGCGGTTGCCGGATTTCCGAAACCCATTTCCCCCAGCTTCTCATCCGAACTCCCCTGAAAACCGGATGCTTATAACTCACATCTTTCCGATTTCTTTTCTTCATTTTCGTCTGCATAGCCGTCTCCGGCGGTGCAACTTTATGCTCCGCCGCAGTAGACGGCGGAGGAGAGCAAGAAGGAGAAGGAGAAGAACTTGGGGCCATCGATGGGGTTATTAATGGAAGGTTGGGTTTTTGGGTGTTATATGTAGGCGATTAATATAATTGTACGAATGATGGTTGGGATTGACACGTGGCAGAAAGATATGGGTCCTACATCCAATAATTGATTTAAAAGGGAGAATTTTGGGTGAATTTGTCTTTTTATTTAATTCAAAATAAATGCCCGTTGGAGCAACCGACGTCGTTTTCTTTTCTTTTGCCCGTTACGCCTTTGAATGTTTCAAACCGTTTTTTTGGCTTTCCTTTTAATTAAAGTAGTAGTTGTGTTGTTCGAATAAATATATATAATATTTTTTATTATAATTAAAAATAAAAATTGAAATTGAAATTGAAATTCTTGTTAAATATAAATTATGGATTTGGGGGTTTATGAAGAAAATGTTTCTCAACTTTTTGTTTTGCAAAATATGCCCCAAAGTTTGCATTTTGATTCAAAGTTAGTCCTTGAATCGAACATCGGTTAGTGCCATGTTTGGTCTATAGGGTAATATGGTCGTGCAAAACTCGAAAATCCAGGCTGGAAATGGGATGTTTATGCAAAAATTGAATGTCTCGAAACCCAAAAATTTGAAACTTGATAGGGGGTATATTTGGGTTTGTTTTTCTGTCACCTGAAGCAATCTGAAATCCAAACCCAAATTTTAGGGCTTGGTTTCGATATCCGAAATCCGATTAGAATTTTGGTATGCGCACCCGAACCCGCTTGACCCGTCTGATGAACACCCCTGTTTGTCTACCCTCATCTAGTGGAACTTAACAACTTGAAGTTATGATCGTTAATGTCAAGGACCTATCTCAAAACAAAATGCAAAAATTAAGGGGGTGTTCGGGGGACTGCGAACGTCTGTCCCATAAAGAGCCGGGGAACCATGCATTCCTCTTGGGCCGGGCTCTCGCGTGTTTGGGGTTCGATAAGATCAACCATCAATCGATTTACGAGACAAGAAATTAAGCAAGGGCTAGGAGATTTATGAAATAAACCGGGCGAAGTCAGTGTTGTGTTTAACTCCACGGTTTATATAACTAATTTATAAAAAAGAAACTATAAGTAATCATAAAAATAATTTTATTAATTGATTATTAAAAAAAAGTTAAACATGTTTTAAAACATTAGTACATACAAATCATACGAAATCCTATGAAATACTAACCGCCACTGTAAGATTTCAAAATCCTATGTTTGTGGGATTTCAATGAAATTCCAAGAATTTAAATTCAGGAAACCCTTCAAATCAAACATGAGATTGAAATGAAATTCAATTCCAAAATCTCTCTCCAAATTCAATCAAATCTTGCAAAACTAAACGAGACCTATGCGTTTGCTTTGACCAAATGGTTTTGAAGGACTTGAATTTCGTGAAAGAATTTGAAATTGGAGGGATTTTGATTTGGAATATTCGGTATATTTGGTTTGTAAGATTTGGAATGAAATTAAATTTCATTTTATTAAAATTATATATATATATATATATATAAACAAATTACAAATAGTTATAAAAATAATTAAATATATTTTTATTAATTAATTATTATAAAACAAATGTTCTCAACATATTTTAAAACATTATTACACATAAACTGTACAAAATCGTACTGATATTGTACCAACAACCTCCATTGGATTTTTTTCCCTTCTAAATCCCGTGTTTGTGAGATTTGAAATCCAAACATTCCTTCAAACCAAACATGAAAGTTGAATGTGTAACTCTTTACAAATCCGATATAATCCTTCTATAATAATAAATAAAGTTGGTGAAACAATTTAGACAAATTGCATGAAAAAATAACGTATTTTAACTTGATTCATATTTTAGGTAACATATTTTTAAAACTTTCATTTTGATACATAAGATGTGAAGTTTTAAACATTTAAGTACCCAAATAACTGATTGAAACCTAATTTTAAATTAAAAAAAATATATATATATTGATTATTGAGTTATCTAGACGGGCCCAATGGCATCATCATAACCCAAGCCCGTCTGTACATCCTCAATCCAGACTCCAGAGGCTTCGCTCCCTAATCCATAGTTCTCTTCGAGGCTTCGCTTCGACCTTCCCTCCCGGCTCCCGCTTCCGTCCTTCGACCTTGGTATTTGGGCATGATTAAAAACCGACCAATTCTTACCAAAAAGTAACACATCTTACACTGCTGCTGATTTAACATTTCAGGTACTTCAATTAAACCCTAACATTTGTTTTCTGTTCTTGAATTGCTTTGCTATTGAGTTGTAATATGTTTGTGAATATGGATTCTTCTTGAAATTTCTCAAAGATGTCTTATGTCTATGTAAAGATTGATTGATTGAATACAGTGATCAAACTCCATTGTTGCTCATGCTCATTCCAAATTGTTTCATGCTTTAGCTTTACAAATCAAGACCTGCCTTTTCCGTGATCCCAAGTTTCATATAATTCAAGTGTAGAGTTAGCCGAAATCCTTTGTTGAATCCTGATTCCTGATGCTAGTGGTGGAGGTGGAGGTGGAGGTGGAGGTGGAGGTGGAGGTGGAGGTGGGAATGTCAAGTGCTACGAACTATATTTCCTTAATTCACTCGTATGACCACTGTATGGCATACGATCCATGCTCATTTTGTTGGGAATGGATGAACCTCGGGTAGGGGTTGCAATGATCGATACCTACATCCCATATTGATTTTCAGCAGAAACCAGGCCTTTATAATTTATTGATTGTACCATATTTTGAAATCTTCATCCACTTAGTCAACTAAATGTATTGAATGAATCTTCATCCGCTTGGTAAATTAAATGTATCGATTGACCCAATTAGGTTCTCCCTCAAAGATTTCCAGTGGATGAGGATTAGTTTTAGGATCAATAGGGACCATAAGTCATGTGGCTATAGTTCATACCGGACTGAAAGACAAACTAACTCTACAGTAGTAAAGCAATTTAGGCATTAACACACGCTAGAAAGAGATTGGAGTAATGGACAATTTGATAGTGAGTCCAGCTGGTCATGGTTGGGCTTGCTTACAAACCCATCCACCATAGATTGGTCTTGAAATCACCAAGTATATCCTGTGGTTAACCTTGAAGAAGTTGATATCGTTACCCTTTAATGACTGGAGCATCCAAGTCATGAAAATAGCCACTTTGCTACAATGCAAGTGAAGCCTGCACACAAGTCGTCCATAGTAAAGTTTGGGGAGTGGTGCTTGGTGGTCATCAGTTTTTAGTAGTAATGTATTAATTTAGAGTAGATTATAAATTCTTAAGTCGTAAGTAGGTGGACAATTTTTTTTCTCCTTAAACGGTAAGCTATGATAATGGCTTAGAGTAACACAAGAATCACCAGTTAACTAAAATAGGTAACAGACAAATTGAAATTTCTGAAACAAATAAGGCCAACAATAAGGCTTCATGTGATTATGTTGCTGACTAAAATTAAAGGTAACATGAACTGTTACTGTTATATTTATACCTCCTCGCCTTGTATGTGAGTTTGTATGTCTCTTTGTTGGATTGTCACAAATTGATTGGTCTGCTTCCATTTTCAATTTGAAGTTGCTCTTAATCTTCTTGTTAAAAGCAGTACCCAATGCTTATAAAGCCTAGGTACAAAAAGCACTACGCCTATGCAAATTAAAAGTGATAAATATGATATCTTACTACTTTCGTTTCAAATGAGTTTTATGGGATTAAGAATGGGCGAGAGTTACTCATATTTAATGGAAGCTGTCTCTTTGCAAAAAAGCAAGGGAAGCTTGACTAGGTTCCAAAACCCTTAAAAATTTGTGCCTTCTTGAGTTCTTGGTTCATTGGAGCAGGGCATCTTTTTGGCTCTCCGCCCAGGGCATTCAAAACCATTGGACGGCCCTGAGAAGAAGGTGCTGTAAATCTTCCTTCAAAATCTTCAACGATGAGTGCAGGTACACAATCTCTTTCTCTGTATCTGTATCTATCTAACTGTATGTATATACGCACCAGCCATTGCTATCTAGGGTTTCTTTAGGTCAAGCGTATTCCATTCAAGTAATTTACGAGTTGTTTGTGTTAAAACTTTTCTAAGAGTTAGGGTTTTCACTATATCTTCTGAAAATTACTTGTTCTTGTTATCAATTAGTGAAATCAGTCATTAGTTGTTGCAGAAATTAATGAAGCATTACCATTTCTATACCCCTAATTGGGATCAAGTGTGTTGGATGTGGTTTATTGCTATAGCCAATGACTCTTAGGGTCATGTTTTGATTTTCGGCAATTCAAAATTGCTATGGGCTTGTTTATTAGCAGCTTGATGGAACTCACAACTTATTCGGTCAGGCTATACATGACTGTGTTAGTGGCTTACTGATATAGAAATAGGCTTAATTAGTAAGCCTCTAGGGAGAGCTTAATGCAGGAAGCCTAAGTTTTTTTTTCCTAAGCCTGCTTTTCCTAGTAAAAAAACATGTATCTTCCATCTATGAGAAAACCCTTCCAAATAAAAACCTTCACAATCCACACAGACAAATTAATCCACAAAGACAACTTTATCCATAATGGAAAACCAAACAAACACCTTGAACTACAAAAGTGAAATTGTTTGAGTAGGGAGAAAAAATTGATGACCATTTTAAACTTCTTAAAATTTGTTGCAATAGAGTAGTATTTAAGGCTAAAAGCAGAAAAAAGAAACGCTTTCACGTTTATAGCTATAAAGGTAGTACGTTTGAATTGTCGAATATCAAAAGTTGGCACTAATGATGTGACCAATGGAGTCATTAGTGATGTGATGGCATTAAGCCACATCCAATGCATTTGACTCGAATCAGGGGAAGGAAAACGAGAACTACTTATGTATTTCTGTAACAAACAATGACTGTGATTTCACTAATTGACATCAAGAGCAAGTATTGAGAAGATATCGTGAAAACCCTAATTCTTAGTGACTACATGCTACTTTTCGTTGATATCATGGTTTGTTTGTTAAAACATATATATATTCCGAACTGCAATGGTGTAATGTTTTTACCTCGGTTCTTTGTAGAAGCCTGAGAAATATACTGCCCATGTCAAATTAAAACACTAAAATCTTGCTCTTCCAATTTTGTCCTGTCCTGTCTGCCTACCAAACACACCCTTAGTGTTTTTGGTGTGACATTGGACTAGGACATCACAAGACTTGAGTGAGACAAAAATGCATTTTCTTTGTCCACCAAAAATAGGTGGAACAAAAATAAGGGAGATGGGACAAGATAGGTAAACTACTAAACTACCCATCCGAAATTAAAACTCTAAAACCTTTTACATTTTTTGACCTAGCGACCACACTCGCCTTTCCAGTCCCGTCTTCATACCAAGCGCCCCCTTATTTGGTGGGATATTGGATTGGGACATGATATCCCACCAAAAATAGGTGGAACAAAAATCGGGGAGATGGGACATGCTAGGTAAATTACTAAACTACCCATCCCAAATTAAAACCCTTAAACCTTTTACATTTCTTTGACCTCTCGCTTTTCCAGTCCCGCCTTCATACCAAACGCCTCCTTATTTGGTGGGACATGACAAGACTTGAGCGAGGCAAATATGCATTCTTTCTCTCCCACCAAAATAGGTAGAATAAGAAATCAGGGAGATGGGACAAGATAGGTAAATTACTAAACTACACACCTCAAATTAAAACTCTAAAACTTTTTGCATTTATTTGACCTGCCGACCTCACTCTCGCCTTTCCAGTTCCGTCTTCATACCAAACTCCCCATTATTTAGTGGGACATTGGATTGGGCATGACAAGACTTGACTGAGACAGATGCATTTTCTCTGTCCCACCAAAATAGGTGGAACAAAAATCAGGGAGATGTGACAAGATTGGTAAATTACTAAACTACTCATCTCAAATTAAAACCCCAACAACTTTTACATTTCTTCGACCAGCCTACCTCACTCTTGCCCGTCCAGTTCTATCATGTCCAATCCTAAACGCACCCTTTAAGATCGTCTATATGAGACATTATTCGACCCTTTCCAGGTGGAGCATTTGGAGGGAACAGAGGAGCTCGACCGGTGCCACCAGAAAAAGGAGTGTTTCCACTTGACCACATGCACTTATGTGACATGGTATCCTCGCGGTGAAAATTGTGATGTTTAGTTTCCTTCTAGTACTTTCGAAAATTGGAATTGCAGCATTTTCATTTGCTTGATTGGTGGTATTTTGCTATGTTCAGGAGAAGAAAGAATATATAAGTTGTCTCAAAACATCGGGGCATAAATCGGAGATATGTAGACATCTTTCAAAGAAATACTTGGAATGTCGAATGGCAAAGTTAGTGAGTTTCTTCCTTTACGAAATTTTATTTGCAATAGTCGTTCAAATTATTATTGAAACAAAAAACATGTTGTCCAACGTTTGGCGCGAAATTAGACCAGGACAAAATAGGATCTGAGCGGGACATAATGCATTTTTTTTTCCCCATCAAAATAGGTGAAAAAAAACCCAGGCAGATGAAATAAGATTGGTAAATGACTAAACTATCTATGTTGGAACAAAAACTTGTTGTCCCATGTTTGGCGTGACATTAGACTGGGATAGAATAGGATCTGAGGGGACAAAAATACATTTTCCCTTCCACCAAAATAGGTGGAACAGAAACTAGGAAGACTAGACAATTACCTATGTCAAATTAAAACCCCTAAAATCTTTGGGAATTCTTTCACCCACCGCCCTCATTCTTGCCCCGTGGTAGTCCAATTTAATTTCGTCCCGTCCGTGTACTTTCACGCCCTAATTGTGCCAAAACTTGTAGTATCGTTTTCACCGGGCAACATGAGTTAATAAACTGCATAAATACGTAATTTGGTTCACTGCCATTTATCTGAGTCTCCGTGCAAGATTGAAAGATACTCTTCTTGATATCATTTTTGCTATCGAAATGGGATGATGACCGACAGGATTTTCATCCAAAGTTAATTGGGCATGTATTAGCAGATATATATATATATATATATATATATATATATATATAGGTTTGCGATGCATTACTACTATAAATCACGATATATTTGGTTCGTCCGTCCCAAAATAAGTGTCCAAATTTATACTTTAGTTTGTCCCAAAATAAGTGTTGGCCTACTTTCCAATTCTACTCATATTTATGAGATAGAGAAATGTATTACTCTTTTATTCTTAAGGGCAAAATTGTCATTTAGTTGCTTAAGAATCAACGAATGAGTTGTGGTTAGAGATGAAATGCCAAAAGCGTAACAATTACACCTTTCAAAAAGTGTAACAAAAACTATTTCACCATCAAATAACAAAATCTAAAACCTCTCTCTATATACAAGTGTAAAAAATAATACCAAGTATGAAATTGTAAATATTAGATTTAATATTTCACCCTAATTTTTATAACTAAAATTATTTGTATATTTGGTTGATTTATATCATATATACTTATTATAAAAAAGAAAAAAAAAGAAAAAAGAAATTAAACATAGGGGCAATCTGGTCTTTTCATAGTTTCGTCATGTCATGTTGTAGCCGTACCGAACACATCACATACAATTAGTCATGTCCTATTCAGTCTCCATACCAAACGCTACTTTATGGTCAAACGCTGGAAGTTTCTTTAGGTCCGTCTTATAAAACAATCCCTATTTTCCTAGGAAATAAAGAAACTATCTTGTCGGTTATTATATCGATGGTGTTTTCAGGAATTTGATGGCGAAGCAAGATATGTCGGAACTAGGTTTCGGGAAGGAAGACAACTCAGAAATCTCGAAAGAGGAAAGCGAAAATGGAAGGATGATAGATTAAACATCATAATCAAGTTACTTTTGAAACCTCAAAACAATTTTGGTTTGTGATTTGTAAGGGATTCCATGTTACCAAATTTTGATGAGTGATCATCTTAAATGTCGGTTTTCATCTTCGATTTGTGTACGTTTGTAAGTATTATTAGTTAACATACGCGGTGCAAATACCCGCTTTTAGTTTGGGATTCGTGTGGTGTGTATGCATACATGTATAATTTCCCAGGTCATGGAACAGGCATATGACGAATATGTGAATAGGTCATGTTAAAATTTCGATAGAAATATGCTATGCAAAAAGTAGAGTGTTGTAAGTTATCAAACTGGCAGAGTATATCTGACCCAGAGTCTAGGATAAGATGTATGCAGTCCATATCTCTGTTCTAGATGGTTGAGTGATTATGACTGGGAAGACCCTTGTATCGAAATTTGAGTTTTTGAGAAAGTTTATCAAAATGTTCGAACAAGGGCTTAATTTGATGAAAACCCTCGAATCAATAAGAAGGGTAGTTATTGGTTGTTTGGTTGGTTTTTCATCAAGTCCTGTATGAATAAAGCCGGTTAGTATATTTGAGTTCATTTTAGTCGTCTTTCAGTACTGGCGAAGCTTTAATTGAAGACCCTTCAGTGYCGTTTCGTTTGGGCCCCTGGGTACCTTCTCCGCACTTAGCTGTAAGCATTTCAAGTAGAATAAAGTTGGTTGTGTAGATTAATCTGTCTGTATAGATTGTAGAGGTTTTCATTTGGGAGGGTTTTTTCATAGATTGAAGAAACGTGTCTTTTAATTGGGAGAAGTAAATTTGAAAAAAAAAACTTGGCATTTTGCATAAAGCTCTCCTGTAAAGGGTTACTGAATTAACTATTTTCTATGCACTAAATGGGAATTAAAACAGGTTTTGCTGTATTTTAATTCATTTTATCCTAAAACAATAAAAGTTAACCACAACTGGGTAGTGTCTGATTGGTTTGAACTTGGGCTCCAAAGGTCAAAAGTATCTGGAGGTCCCAGATTCGAATCCAATAAGGAATAAAAATCCCATTGTGACCACGGAGGTTCAAATACAGTGACCCTGCGGGTGGTCACCCTGGGATTAGTCGATTCGTAAAATGGGTTGAATATCCAGGTTAATAAAAAAAAGTTGCAACTTAATTCCAAATTTGAACATGTTTTTGTTGAAATATCATGCATGAAGATATGTAGCACATAACTGTAATAGCTTAGTTGATGAACGAACGAACGAACGAACCGACTAAATTCAAACGTTTTTTAACAGTCATTAGAGGGAACGAACCAACTAAATATATTTCATGTAACGGAGTTTTTTAACAGTCATTAGAGGGAAGGACTAAATTCAAACGCTTTTCAAACCATTATGACTATCTTCTAATTTTAAAACTTTAAAGACAAAAAGTGTTGTTTTCAACAAACCACGAGGTATAAATTTGTAGTTTACTATATATTAAAATGTATTTTATATTTTAATAATATAATTAATGATGTAATTCATAAAATACAATGTATTTAGAGATAAAAAGGGGTCTTACGTGTCTCACGAAAATAGGCCGGCTTCACGTGATCTCATGTATATATAAATATATATATATATATATATATATACTGGTGTGAGATTAGAAAACAAGTGGCTGGAATAGCTCAGTTGGTTAGAGCGTGTGGCTGTTAACCACAAGGTCGGAGGTTCAAGCCCTCCTTCTAGCGTCAATTTTTTATGTCCACCTACTATCCCCAAAACCAGGCTGTCTAGTGTTTTTTTACTAAATAATCAATATAAATATTATTTAAAAATACTAAATTTTTTCCAAAATCAATCTTAATTAAAAACTTACATTCATAAATCAAAAGATTTAAATATCATGTTCACCAACACAAAAGTTGAAATGTTTACGGCGATTATAGGGACATACTTCTGGTACGTGCCCCCTTATATTTTGGTCAACGGGTATTTTTGTAATTTTGATAAAAGTTAGGTTATTTTGTTAATAAATCATTGGCTGAAGTATTTGGGGAAAAAAAGGAGGGATTCTCAACTGTCAAACGGCGGCGGCGAGGATAACACCGATGCTGGCTCTATTCAGGTATAATCTCTTCATTCAGCGATCATATATATGGTGTATACGCATACATGGACGCCATGATTACGAGTTGAATTATTGTTTTCAGAGTAGAACGTGCTCTGAATTTCACAATCATATATCAGATATCGAAATCAGTGCCCTACTTTCAGGTTCAGCGGTCTCTTCGAATTCTTCCAACACTGATAGGCTGAATTGATGAATCATTGGTCTTAATTTACTCACTTGCGAACATTATGCATGTAATTAGTTTATATATAGTGCATCTGTTCTTGAAATCAGTTGGGTTTTGCTTTTTCTAGATTAGACCATACCAGAACTAGCAGAATCCCATGGATTTTGCTGTTGCTAACTTTTTGATTTGGTTTTATTTTAGTGTTTAAAGGGTGAGAGCTTATTTGATATATATACACACCCATATATAAGGTCTAGTTTTGGTGAAAACCGTAAAAGAAATGAAAGATTGAGCATCACCCTGCCCTGGTAACCATTCATATGCACGGTATTTCAGACTGTTAATTCTGTTGTTGTAATTAATGGCAGAGATGCTACTGGTCTGGTGGTATGAACTACAACTGTAAAATGGTTGGTGGAAAGAGTAACAGAAGAACTGCAGAGAGGAAGAACCAAAAATCAGTTGCTCCTGTATGGAGACCAGTGTCTACACAGTCTCGTTCAGTTGAAGGTGAGGATTTATGTTGATTTTGTGAATACGGATGCGTTTGGTACATTGGACAGAAAAGAACAGAGGTCACTGTTCCATGTTTGGAAGGACTTTTATGTGGAAAAGACAAGAACAAAGTGGAACATACCTATATTTTACCAATATAACCTCAAAATAGAACCTAATTCCATTCTAAAACATGAAATACCCCCCCCCCCCCCTTCTTTACATTTTCATTCTTTAAATTTTATTTATTGTATTTTATGCATTTTAAACTTTCACTCTTTATTGTCCTCAAAATATTAATTTTTATGCGGTTTCTATATCTTGATTAATTTATGTAATATATTAAATATTAACAATAATTAAAAATAATATAGAAAAGGTATAAGATAAAAATTGGACTTTTTATTTTGGTGTCATCTTAATCGTCTTGACGAAAACTTTCTAATTATATATTTTGTTATAAAAATATTTATTTATTATTATTTAATAGATTACATAAATTAATCAATATATATATATATATATATATATATATAAAAGATATAAACAACTCATTGGGGGTAAATTGGTTATTTTATTTGTTCAGTCCTTTCCAGTTTTGTCTTACCAAACCGTGACAGTTGTTCTGTCCTATTCTATTATGTCTGGATACCAAACACACCCAAGGCATCTCCAACCATAGATGGGAGAGAAACGACAAATATTTTGTGTTGCTGTAACGGCATATGCCGCATAGTTGGAGTCGAAGCAATTTTTGGTGTTAATGGGTGGACCAATTTGGTGTCTTTTTGGTGCTATGGTTGAAGTTCGTCTTGGCATGTTTTGATGTTCTTTTTACATCCAACTAGACATGCTATTTATGTCCCAAAATAAGAGTTTGTTTGGTTGGTTTTCATTAATCCTGTACGAATAGAGTTGGCCCTGTGGATTAATTTGTTTGTATAGATTGTGAAGGTTTTTGTTTGGGAGAGTTTTTTCATAGATGGAAGGAGCGTATTTTTTAATTGGGAAAAAACTTGGCTTTTTGCATGAGGCTTTCCCCTAGAATCTTACTGAATAAGCAACTTTTTATATCATTAAGCCACTACCAAACAATCATGCATTGCTGACCGAATAAGCTGCAAGTACCATTGAGCTTATTAAGCTGCTAACAAACAAGCCCTAAGTGAATCTTGTATTTGGAAGGAAGGAGTATTCTAAAATAAATGTCCACAAATGAAAAAAGCACACAATTTTAGAAACGTGTAATTATCACTTCTTATTTAACTATATGACAATTTTATCCTTAATAATAAAGGGAGCAATGAACTCAAGATCTCAGAGTCAATGGTAAATTGGGATGTAGGCACTTACTTTTGAAAGGAGACACATATTTGGAACAAACTAATAAGACATAAATGTGGACACTTATTTTTTTATGGAGGGAGTATTGCATTAGTTGTATGATTGTTATTTGATGTGAAGTCGTGGAATGTTTAGTGAAGGATGTTAATGATGGTGTCAATGTTGAGGTTGGAAGTCAAGTAAAAGTGTACGATGGCAGTTCTAGCGGGGTTTTAAAAAGTCAAGATGGTCGGGGTGGGGCTGAAGTAGGTGCTAAATTGGCTGAACCAAATATTGGTCCTACAACATTTTTAGATAAAGAAGAAAGCAAGGCATTTGAAGGGTCGGTGTCTTCTACAGATAAACACTTGGTCTCTTTGGAGGTGAAGCTTTATTTGTCTACTTTTTTGCTTTTAATTGCGAATTTATGTTTTGTTTTGGAAGGGTGTTAGGCATGTCCCCCGACCCGGTAAACCCCATACGCTAAAACATGCGCCCCACATAACTGTGGTGGGCACAAGAATAGGGGGCAGGAATCGAACCCGGGGAAGATGGGATGCAATTCTCATCCCCCTGGGCCTCAACCAACCCGACACCACACTTTTGAACTTTTTTCTTTTAATTGTAAACTTACACTTTCTTTTCCTGCCAAATTATTTACTTTTCTATGCATATAGAACTAAGAACAAATGAAAACAAATCCAACACCATATTCCTATCCTTTGTGGCAAATAAAAAACTTAGGGGGGTGTTTGGTTGAGAAAGAGGAATGAAAATGACAGGGAACGAAAACAGGAACGGATTTTCATTTCCCCCAGTTTAACCTTGGATGAAAATTTGGGCTTCTGGGGGAATGGCCTCATTATATATCTTTTATTTTCATTCCCATTAATTACTGCTTAATACTTCTTACCAAACACCCCGTTACAAACAAAGTCCCCTTCTTTTACAAACCCAATAATTCGTAGAAACTTATAAACTAGTTTTCATGTGTTGCTTCACATTTGAAACAACACGTGTGAAAATGCAGTGTTTATATGTCCTGTTTCATATATGAAACTTTCAGGGGTCTTCTTTTTCACACATAAAACAGTCCTGAACGTTTCACATATAAAACAACACTATATAGACACTACATTTTCGCACTTGTTGTTTAAGTTTCTATGACTTATTGGGTTTGCAAATAATTATGCGTCTACGAACATAAGGCATGAAAGGTAAATGATCTTTTAGGTTTTTAAGTTAAATTTATGATCTTAGTTTTGCACTTTCCTGTTATTCTATTTTCAGATAGAATCTCAACTACAATTCCACTTGCCTTTAATAAAACTTATTTCTTGCTCAGGATCTATCCTCCAAATGTATGGTTATAAAACTCAATCTAAATATCCTTTCATAGCAATTTAAATCATTCACAGCCTAACACGATGATATTTTATATTTATTACATTACAAAGGGAATAATTTGCAAAAGGCTAAACCGCTGAAAGCTTGGTGATTTTAGGGTGGGGTGGTTGGACGGGAGTTTAAGGATATGATTTTTTACTGTGTTTTCTCTTGTTCTTCTCTTCTAGTTCTCATTGGTTTCTATATCATGTAGGTAGGGTCTTCCTTGTTGCGATTCATCAAAGGAAAAGGGTAGAACTTTGGGACTTTCACCCTTCATATTCTAGAATTTGTTGCAAGTATACTCATGGACACATGTTCGGTTGGTCACACTAATATGTGAAACTTTCTTCATTATCCTCTACAGGGGTTCTATGCAGGAAAAAATTGAAGGGGAAATGGGGATTAAAATTATATTTCCATCATCAAGAACGGAAGAATCAATAAGTGTGTTTCTTGTTTCATGCCTTTTTGTTTCAGTTTACTTTGCGTTTAGTATCTAGGCAGGACAGGAACAGTTGCTCAGCGTTTGGTAAGACAGAACTGGACACAACATAACAGATAAAATGACCAATTTGTCCTTAATTTGTTTATATCTTTTATATATTGATTAATTTACCTAATTTATTAAATTATAATAAATATATATTTTTATAACAAAATATATCATTAGAAATTTTCGTCAAGACGATTACAATGACACCATAATAAAAAGTTTGTATAGTTTCCAAGTTTTATATTATACATTTTCTATATTATTTTATTATTTAAATCTTAATCAATTACATAAATTAACCAAAATACAGAAAGCTTATAGAAATAATATCCCGAGGACAGTAAAGTGAAAGTTTAAAGAGCATAAAATACAATAAATAAAATTCAAAGAATGAATAAAATGTAAATAGGGAGGCGTGTTTGATGTTTTAGAATAGAATTAGGTTTTATTTTATGGTTATATCGGTAAAATATCGGTTTGTTCCACCTTGTTCCATTGGTTGGAGGTAAAACACACATGTTCCACTTTGTTCAATTATGTGCCACATAAAAAGTCTTGCCAAACATGGAACAATGATTCTTGTTCTGCCTGTCCAGTGTATCAAACGCACCAAAGAGACCGTTTTGGCATATACAGATTCTGCAGTCGTTGATCTTATACAACAACAATAGTTGAGTCCATGTTGATAATTGGTCTTATGCATTAGGGTCAAGTTGTTTATGGCTCATCATTTGTAAAAATAGATTGTGTAATGCTTTGAGTCATTACATATATCCTCATCTTAATGTGAAAATAGCCATTTACAAGGCACATTTTTGCAGCGATTGAAGGCAGTTCTCCTGATAGTGTAGCTAGAGCTTCAGAAAGAATACAACTCATAATTGACGAGGTTAGTTACCATCATGGCATACAACACATAGAATTTGTGGTTGCTATTCATAATATAGCAAATACTTCGTCGTGCATAGAGGCCCAAGCCCATTCCTAAGTGATATTTTAGAATAGTTAAGAAGGGATAATTTAGGTATTTCTGAGAATGAATATCAGTATGAAGAGGGTTGATGTAGGTGGTGTAGCGCATGCAGAAAATTAGTGAACAGATAATGAAGATGAAAACAGACTAATCAGATGATTACTTAAATGGAAAACAAGGTAAACTCTAGCATTCAAGAGGCTAGCAACTCTCCCATAGATCACTCACTAAGTTTCTGCATTCCCCACCACCTACATCAACCTCTTTATACTAATATTTATTCTCAGAAATACCTAAATTATCCCTTCTTAACTATTCTAGAATATCACTTAGGAATGGGCTTGGGCCTCCAGATGGGTGTATGGCATACTTGTGATTTCGTGCACACTCATCACCTTTTGCAAGGTTTTAACCCTTGACCTAGTGGAAGGTTGGGATCTAGCGGTAACCTAACAACCGCTGGGCCAGTGACCCTTTGGTAAAAGAAAGATCCCAGTTTCCGTGTTTGCTTTCTGCACTTGCTGCTCCCTATGTTTGGTAACATATTTGTTGATCTCATTGAGTGGTTACTGCATTTTTATTTTTGTTCTTTCTCAGTGAAAGGAGAAAACATTTCAAGTATATTTCCTTTTAGGGAAATTAACCAAAACAGCCGATCTCCCCAACCAAATTCACCTTTTTAGCCATTTTTCAATCAAAATTTCATTTTAGCCGGAGTTTATGCAAATGTCTTGTGCATTTGCGTAAAGCCTATTTTCAGATCTTTATGCAAATTTGCATAATTTGTGTAAGGATCACCATTTGCGTGAAGATTTTTTTTTTCTTTTTTTTTTGAATCTGAAAATAGGCTTTACCCAAATGCATAAGGCATTTGCATAAACTTTGGCAAAAATGGGAATTCAATGCCAAAAGTGGCTAAAAAGTGATTTTGATTGAAGAGATTGGCTATTTTGGTCAATTTCCTTCTTTTTATCATGCTTTGACCGAAAATCTTTTGTCTTTTATGATACTTTACTGCTGAGATGTGATTTACCTGTACTTGGTGTTCAACAGGTTGTTAAAAGCTCAGCTCTTGACTACTCTCACTTCGTATCACTTCCGTTGGCTTTATATCCTGAATTGGTTGATCAGCTTGTCAACTTTCAGAGTTCGATATTAGGGATGCACGATCCGAACCCAGATGAGGTTTTGGATATTAGTTCCAATAAAGATACGACGGATGAGGAAGATCGGGACCAAAAAGTAGATGAAGCACCTCAAGTTGCGGTCACACTTCAAGCTCAAAAAGATGGTGAAAATGTTAAAGTGGATGTCACTAATATACGCCGTGTAAGTTATCCCCCTAAATCCTCGGCTACCTCCGCCTCAAAGTCAAAGACATCTACATCATCCGGTATGTTTGCCAAAATTATCTTGATGATATAAGTTCATGTTCGTTCAATTTTCAGGTTTTGCATCTTTGTCTTGTGGGCATCTCTTTTTTTTTTTCTGTTCTTTTATAACTCTTTTTTCATGAAAACCAAATATCTAGACTGATGCGGGCCTTGGCATGGAGGACCCGGCCTTATTGTTCCTGGAGGCCCATGACAGGGCTGAGAGAGGGCGTCATGCTTAAAAGTGCATAACTTTTTTGCTACCCTTTGAGGTCATAATATGCCGATTCGAAGCTTGGGACACTTTTGTGGCCTAAAAGCATCGTTTCAACATGTTTTGAGACAGTTTTGTGTTTTTTGTCATATTTTTCAGTTTTCGTTTGGGTTTTTATGTTTGGCCCGTCGTCTTTTCTAGTCTCATTTACATTTGGGACTCTTATTTATATGTATTTGGTATAATATGGATAGTCAGTGGTTGAATACATAGATTTTTTTTCATTTTCCATCAAAATTTTGAGTTCATTGTCGAATTTGAGCCTAAAGTTCAGTATTCATTGAATCAACGAACTTTAGAAGAGATTGTTCCCGGGTATTCACAGAATCAGCGGGATTAATCTTTGGTTTGGTTGCCGTACGCTGCATCATAGACCTTGTTTAATTTGTTCTTAAAATTGGAGGTTTGATGATTTTCGTTTCTGATGTGTTGCTTACAACAGAACTAGGAATAGATGAATCCATATTCATTAAACCGAAGACATTTCACTTAACGGTGCTCATGCTAAAGTTGTGGAACAAGGACAGAGTCGATGCTGCTGTTAGGATATTCGAGGTTAGTTCAATTGCTTACATTTTCTTGGTTTCGAGTCATTTAGGTATATGACCTTAAATGAGATTTTAATAAATCGAGGACCTCATGACCTATTAAAAGAAAAATGGCTTTATACTCGTCAGGAGGCCATGAATTTAATTAAATTCTCATTTAGGGTGCATTTGGTATCAGGATAGGACAKGACAGGACAGAACAGGACAATTGTTCAACTTTTGGTAAGATCGGACCGGATAGGACAGGATTGGTAAAATGACCAATTTACTCCTAAGGAGTTGCTTATATATTTTGATTAGTTTATTAATTTATGAAATTATAATACAATAAATATTTTTATAACAAACTATATTATTAAAAAGTTTTCGTCAAGATGATTTAAAAATGAAACCAAAATATGAAGTTTTCTAATTTCCAATTGTTATTTTTATGCATTTTCTATATTATTTTTAATTATTAATATTTAATAAATTACATAAATTAACCAAAATATATAAAACATATAAAAACAATATTTTGAGGCCTGTAATGTGAAAGTTTAAAAGGGATAAAATACAATAAAATAAAATTTAACTAATGGATAAAATGTGAAGAGGGAGACATATTTGATGTTTTTGGAAAGAATTAAGTTTGTTTTAAGGGTATATTGGAAAAGTATAGGTTTGTTCTACCTCGTTCTATGAGGTGGGGGTGGAACACCCATGTTCCACCCTGTTCTTGTCTGCTCCACATAAAAGTCCTGTCAAACGTGGGACAATGATCCCTAGTTTGTTCTGTCCTGTTCAGTGTACTAAATGCACCCTTAAATATCTCTTTTCTTGGTTGATTGAAATGCTTCTGATGAATCAAATGTTTCATTACCATTCAGAGCATTGCAGCAGAAGTAATGGATGCATTAGATGGCCAACCTGTATCTATTAGACTTAAGGGGCTGGTAAGAATCTTGGTTATTTATTTAGCTAAATGACCTCCTTAACAATTGCTTTTTAAATCCATGACCTTCTAGCAGATTTCTAGGCATTCTTGTGCATGAAAGTGACATTTTTCGGTCAAGTAGTGGCATTCTCAAACCTGTCAGAGAAGTCATTGATTAAAAAAACCCATCAAAGGTCATGTAACCAAAGGACCCTAAGAATCTTTTTGCAGTTGACATATAGGGCCCGTTTGGTTTGCGGGATTTGGTGGGATTTGGAACTGGATTCCAATCCAATCCTGGAAGTCCGGAATGAAATCCGAGGATTAACATGAAACCCCACAAACATGGGATTTAGAAATTCCTTGGGGTGGTTGGTATTTGGCAGGATTTCATAGGATTTGTTTATGAGGGTGTTCTATAATATGTTAAAAGCACTTATTTTGTAATGATCAATTCTATTTTTATAGTTTGTTTTTATAAGTTATTTATAAAGAATGGAATTCAATTCCGTTCCAAATCCCTCAAAAACATTCCATCAAAACAAACGAGTCCATAGTCTCATACTTTCTCCTTTCAGGATTGCATGAGAGGTTCTCCTGCCAAGGCTCGAGTTCTCTATGCTCCTGTTGAAGTAGTAGGTGGCGAGGATAGACTTTTGCAGGCATGCAGTATCCATCGTACTTTATGTGCACTTCTTTATTTTCTCATTAAATACCGAAAGTTCTGGAAGAAAATATTGATTTCTTCCCCTTGATAAAGAAGTAGAATACACAGGTAGAGTCCCAATCATTTGCATACCTCTTAATTCATACAAACCAACAAATCTCAACCGTCCATCTACTCTAATAAATATCTGATTTCATTTCCTAATCTAAAGCGTTGATCATAATGAATGGAATGTGATCATCTTCCATAAATATCCAGATCATAATAAATGAACCTTGATCATTTCCATAAATATTCTAATTGATTGGTTTATATGGTTAGTAAGAATTAGGAGGCTTGCAAAAGAGGCGAAGGGTCGTGTCAGAAGGAGAGTTAAGGTGAGAAGCGTAAGAAGGGATTTGGACCCTTGATCACCTTTAATCTCAAACCCACCCATGAATCGTGCTTGATGCGGGGATTGATTTGGTGCATCTCATCCTAATGTGCATCCAAGGGTGGAGATCCCTTCTTACGCTTCTCACCTTATCACTCCTCACCAAAACCGAACCTTGCAAAAGAAGGGGACTCTGCATAAGTATTTATAGGAATTACAATGACATTGAATGGTCTCTGTACATAACTATCTATAGCTAATAAAGAGGAAACCTATTTGACTAAGGAAACTACACTCAGAGATAAACTAGGAAAATCACTCATATTTTATCATCTTTTTATAATTCAAGAAATGCAAGAAGAAATGAAGTATCTACAAATGATTTTTGGAGTTATGAAGATTAAAGCATGTCAACTACAAGGGTTGTGGCGTAGTGGTTGAGGCCCATGGGGATGTGATGGAATATCCATCTGCCCTGGGTTCGATTCGAAGCGTCCACAACAATTGTAGCCACTGAGTTTATTAGGGCTCATGTCTTACAGTTGCAATTTATGGGGATTAGTGTAGGCATAGCCTGTGATACCATTAAAAAATATTAGAGCATCTCTAACTGATTCTCCAAAATCGAGAAAATGGAGATTTTGAGCAAGTTTTTTGCTGCTACAAAATCTCCAAAACCTTTCTCCAAAATAGAGAAAGTTAGAGAGCGTTAAATTCTCCAAATTTGGCGAATTCTTCAAAAATGATTACCATGAGAGAGAAATAATTTGTTGTAATCTTCAAAAGTGGGGAAACTGTTGGAGTTGAATGTAATTTTCTTTGAAGATTTTAAATTTTGATTCTCCATTTTGGAGAATATGTTGGAGATGCTCTTATGTTAATGGTTTTTCCTGAGCTTTCTTAGAAGTCATCACCGATGCTTTTATAAAGGGCGGCCTTGTTCTCGAGAAAGATGCCAAACAAGCGTTGAAGGTATGGAATTCAACTTACGAGTTTTTCGTTATTGTCATTTTCTTTTCTCAAGGACACCGGTTTTGGTGATATAAGATGATCGGTAGTGTTTGTTCATGTTAATGTCATTTTGTAGTTAAGCATCCGTTTATAGGAATAAAAAATTTTAGTCCCCAAATCCCATGTGGGTTCTGGGTTTCGGTGAGAATGAAATTATGGTGCGAAGGGTGAGAAGGGATCAACCGTAATTGAAGAGAGCCACAAGATCCACACTAATGAGAGACACTAGATCAATTTCCTTCTAATGCGCCATTCATGGGTTGTTTTAGGATTAAAAGTGATTAAGGGTCCAAATCCCTTCTTACACTTCTAACCTTAACTCCTATTCTCACACGATCCTTCGTCAATCCCATGTCCCCTTCTTGTACACCAAACACATGAAGACACATCATCACTTCGTTGAAGAGACTATGAAAAAGTGAAGTAAATAAAGTTATATTAGATAAAAAAATAATGACGTGTCTTCATGTGATAGGTAGGATAGGGAGGAGACACGGGATTTGGGGACCGGAGATTTTTATTCCATTTATGGAAGGCCACTCAAGAGTTGGCCACTTAGAAAAGCTACAAAAGCGTAGCCTTTATCGTAAATCAGTTAGATGAAAACAATACTAAGTGGCTCGTTAAGTTAAACGAGCTCTATTTTGTGTTCGGGATCGACTCGAGCTCGAGTAGCTCGTTAAAAGCTCGACTCATTTACACCTCTAATTTTACTTCATTATACAAGTCCGTTCCCCCAATACAAACATCTAAGATGTCGAATTCTATTTCAACGCAGTTGCATGCAACGGTGATGAACGCGAGGCACAGGAAAAGGTTCTACAATCCTTGTTCTTTTGATGGCTAGTTGTTTTGATGTTTATATATATATATATATATATATTGCATAACCTGTATCACTTTTCACAAGTTTGGGTCTTCACAAAAACAACCGCTCTACTTTTTGGGGTAGATGTCATGTCAGCGTACATCTTACCTAGAGCTGGCCAAAATGGCCCGGCCAGAGACCAGGACCGGTTGGGCACGTTGCAGACTCGACGGTCCATAGCCGGTTATGGTTTTTACCGAAATTCAAGGCCCGGTCCAGGACCAGGTTGTACATAGGCCCTATTAAAAAAAGAGTTTCTATAAACTTTTTTTTTTACCAAAAACTTCAAGTTTATTTTAAGCTTTCGAAGTTCTTTTGGAAGTATTTCACGTTTTTAAAGTGTTAAATTTCAAAAATCGTAACATTTAAAGTGTATTTGAATGGTGCAATTAGAGATTTTAAAGTGTATTTCAATAAGATATTGTTCAAAAAAAAGAAATTATCAAACAAGATCTTTTATATGTAAAAAATTATATTTTGGAAAAAGAACTTTGGGACCGGTTTGGGCCCGGACCGGGACCGTTTTAAAAAACCAGTTATTGTTAAAGGAGACTGGGCCATGGGTTTTTTATCACGACTGGGACCAGTTACGGAAAGGAAATCAAAGACTGGGACCCATTTGGGTGGGAACGGTTTTTGGCCATCTCTAAATCCTTACCCTTCCCACAGACCCCACCTCGGGTGGGATGAGATGTTCTAGGTTCGTTTGGTTTGGGTAACTTGTTTGTCTTTTTCCATCTAAAAGTGATACGTTAATCGCATTGATCAGGAAGACGAAGACAAGAAATTCCGATTCATTCGATGCTCGAGGCATTATGGAGCAATTTGGTTCCAAGGAGTGGGGAGAGTATCTCATCCACGAAGTTCATCTCTCGCAAAGGTTTGTGTTTGATGAAGATGGTTACTACCATCGTTGTGCTTCTATTCCGCTCCCGCAGAACCCACAAGCGGATTAGTTTCTTTAGTTGTGGGGAAAAAAGGGTTTGCATTCTTCTTTATTACTGTACTGGTTTCACAGTCATCATAGGGAAGGTAAATCACAGTGTCCTACGACAGAGTGTAGTTTCTTTATGTTGTGAAAAAAGGGTTTGTGCTATCCTCTATTACTGTACTAGTTCCACAGTCATCATGGGGGAGGTAAATCGTAGTATCCTATGACAAAGTGTAGTTTCTTTATGTAGTGAAGAAAAGGGTTTGCACTATCCTCTATTACAGTATTGGTTCCACAGTCATCATGGAGGAGATGAATCGCAGCAGTGTCCTAGTACAGAGTGTAGTTTCTTTATGTTGTGTAAAAAAGGGGTTGCACTATTATCTATTAATGTACCGGTTCAACAGTATCATGGGGAGGTAAATCATACTGTCGTAGTACAGAGTGTAGTTTGCTTTATGTTGTGAACTCGTTAGTGACTTGGACTACCGTGAATAAAATCATGAGTAAATCGCACTCTCCTAGGGCAGGGTGTAGTTTGCTTGTTGAAATTTGGTTTGTAAGACGGTTCATATTGTGGATGTTATGGAACCCTGTTGAACTCTATTTAAAAGAGTCATTTTAAAGAGGTTGCACATATCTTTAACATCATATCAGAGCCAAGGTCTACTATATTTATTCAACATGATATCTATTACTTGTTAAGAGCATTTACACAATATGGCTTTTAGGGGTTCACGTAAGGTCAGTCTGTTTTTGTGAGACATGCGAAACCATATTTTTACACTTGAAACTTTACAGCAAAATGCTATGAAAGTGGTGGTGTCACAAAATGGTCTCATATGATCTAAGTATGGGCTTTTACAAGGTTTTTAAGAGGGTTTGAAAGTGAAAACCTCATTGAGCTTTTTCAACATAATAATTGCACGACCTTTTAATTTTATTAAAAAGTTTTGTATTTAGTCAATTTTATTTAGGAGCCGTTTATCAAATATTTATCTGATAACATTATTATTTATTTATCGGGTAAGATTTTAGTTCATAAAAACGATATCGTGTGTAACAATTTACCGGTAAGCGCTTACCGTGATAAGAGTCGTCATCCTCATTTACCGGATAAGACTATTGGTGTTTGTCTCGTTCTTACCGGGTAAGATTCTTGGTCCATATCATATTAATCCAGTAAGGTAATATAACTTAGTAAACATTTACCCGAATAACCGTTTGGTAAACGGTCCTATAGTCAGATGATTAAATTAACATATTTAAATATAATTAAAGTAATTATATATTTTTATTTAAATTAAATTAAAAAATAAACTTATATATTTTTTGAAAACCCAATTTTTATAAATTCATTATTTAATTTCTTTTATATAATTTTTTGCATAATTTCTACGGATTTATTGATAATCACAATCATTTTCTAAAAATTTCTAATTTAAGTGGTTACTTTTCTTGATAATTATGCAGACTTCATAAACTCATCCGTCTTTTTGTTACAAAATCTTATATGTATATTTTTATGTCGAAATCAGATCAAATTATTCATTGAAAATATAAAAAGTAAGCTTGAAGAAAATTATTTATATATGTAAAATGATAAAAAATGACAGTCTTTTATATTATTGACAAAAAATTATATTAATAAGATTAATAATTTATTAATAATTAACAAACATTAATAAAACAAGGTTAAAATGGTAAACTGATAATAAACATTTTTTCATAAGTCAGGAATCATTAACTTATCAAAAACTGCTTATTATCGATTTAACACCGGTATAAATAGTTTTATTTTTCCACATCTAAACACTAACATTTAATTTATCACCGGATAAATTTTTTTTTTTAAATAAGTCCTCCCAACACCGCCTAAAGATGTATAACGATGCTCTTAACGAAAACGTAAAAGAAAAGACATTGAGATGATTATATATAGACAAGGAAAAGAGGAAAACCAGTCTTCCAACACACTTCAAGCTGAGTGAGAGAGAGTGAGTGAGAGAGGGATGTTGGAGAGAGTGCTATCCATGCGAAGAGGAGCTCACATGGAGGATGAAGGAGACGAGCACCAAGGAGACGAATCCAAAACCAAGAAGCATCTTTCAATCGCCATTCGAATCACCAACTACTTCACCCGAACCGGTTACCTCTGCCCCATTATCCTCATCGCCATAGCCATCCTCCTAATATCCTCCTTCTTCGTCCGCTCCCATGATTTGCTCTGTGTTTCTTCTATCTCTTCCTTTGATCGCCTCTCTCGCTCTCGATTCTTCGGCTTGGATGGACTCGAATCGGATTTCGGATCCCTAGGCGTCCCGTGGTGTAAGCTCTCATAATTCGTTTATTTTGCTGTTAGGGTTTGTTTGATTTGATTTCCTCGCGTTTCCGATCTGAATCGATGTGATAGTGTCCATTGGTTTTGGGTTCTTAGGTTTATTCTAATGTTCATTCACGTTATAGAATGTGAATCTAATGCTTGTATGTGCTTAAACTGATTTGTGATATGAAATACTCTGCTAGATTTGAGCCGCAACTTGTGATTTGTTGTTTGATCTGTAGACTTAACTCTAATTTAAATTTAGAGTGTGAAGTTATTAATTTGGCATACCAAGTAACTATTTATGGAAATCTATCATCTATTTTAATGCATCAAATCAACTTGAGGGAGTGTTCATTGTGGTTACGATTGTAGAAGATGGTTTTGCAAATTTGAAACTTCTGTTTCTGAGTTCAAACAGAGTTACGTTGCTAAATGAACACAGAATATGTGGAAGCATGGGTCTGTGTGGTGGTTGATTTGTGAATTTGGGGAAGTGGAAAGCAGTTGGCTAGTGTTTAGGAGCATGGAAAGTGAGGTATACGATTGAATTTAAACCACACTTTTATCAGGTCCGAAATTTTTCGCACATTTTTTTGAAAGTCAGGTCTTCACATAAACAACCGCCCTACTCTTTGGAGTTGAGGTGAGGTATGCCTACATCCCACCCATAGATCCCATCTCCATTTGGGTATAGCTTGTTTGGTTTGGTTTGATTTGATTTAATGTTATTCTTAGGGGCTGTTTATTAGCAGCTTAATGAACTTAATGGGACAACTTATTTGGTCAGCTATACATGATTGTTTGGTAGTGGCTTAATGATATAGAAAGTGGCTTATTCACTAAGCTTCTAGGGGAAGCTTTATGCAATAAGCCAAGTTTTTTCCCAACATGCCCTCCGAATGAAAACATGCTCCTTCCATCTATGAAGAAACCCGCCCAAACAAAAACCTCCCCCATTTATACAGACAGATTAATCCAATGAAAAACCAACCAAACAGCCCCTTATTGTGGTGTGCAATGCATGATCCTTTTTTTGTTAACCGTGGGTGTCAGGGCCAGCTTTGCACTCCTCAGCTAATCCCATGGGGTCCTAGAGAACGGCTAGGAAAATCCAAGTGGTCTTGGAGGGGCTCAAACCGGTGACCTATGGGGAGGAGCCCCAAAGGGCCAAGCCTTGTTGCCAGTTTCATTATTAACTAAACTTGAATTTTAGTTAAAAGTTGATATCCGTAGATTATATGGATTTATTATGAATACAAATCTAAGGCACAGCTTTCTAAGGAATCTCAGACTTTGTTGAGGTATATGCATGTACTTATCAGATGCCATTTACACAATCTACAGACTACGGCTTTTGGTTTAATATTTCAAGTGTCTTATTTGCTTAGTTTGTGCTGCTAATCAGCAATATAAAGCACAAATCCTGGTAGTCATATTCTAAAAAATGCTGTAAAGATCAAGTTGGTGGGATACAGAAACAAAAACAGCAATTAAACCAGAGAACATGATTGCATTATAAGATCACAATCGAACAGATCGAGGAAGGCACAATAACTTTGGATTAAACTTAAAGCCATGGTGGAAGTTGTTGGTAACCTACAACTTTGAGCTTATAAGGAGCTCATAAACCACTTTTCTTATCCATGTGGGATGGGTTATTACACCTACAATAGTTGTTTTCTGTTGTTAAGCATCAATCTGATGCATAATTCTTGATAATCATATTCAGGGGTTGTTTGGTTGGTTTTCCATTAAGTCCTGTGTGATTAATCTGTCCTTATGGATTGAGAAGGTTTTCATTTGGTAGGGTTTTTTTATAGACGGAAAGGGCAGGTTTGAAAAAACTTGGCTTTCTGCATAAAGCTCCCACCCTAGAAGCTTACTGAATAAGCCACTTTCTATATCATTAAGCCACTACCAAACATGATGTATAGCAGACCGAATAAGCTGAGTCACATTAAGCTACTAACAAACAGGCCCTCACTCAATGCTGGAAATACCACTTGGGAGTTCCATTTTATTCTTGTTTCTTTTTGAGTTTTATTCTTGATCATTAATATGTTACTGTGCTCTTGAAAAATAATGTATGGAATTATGTATTTGAAGGCATCATTTTAATTATTGAGGGCCAAGTTGGACCATGAAGTGATTAAGTTCTCATAGTCTACATGCTTTTAATTTATGTCTTTTTTAAAAGGCAGATCGAAACATGGTAAAACCGTCCAGTGGACATCCAAGGACTTGCTCCAAGGTCTTGAAGAATTTGTACCTATATACGAAACACGACCCATCAAGAATAACATGTACGGGATGGGTTTTGATCACAGCTTTGGGCTCTGGTTTATTGCACGATGGCTGAAACCAGATATAATGATCGAGAGCGGAGCTTTCAAGGGGCATTCCACCTGGGTCTTGCGGCAAGCAATGCCAAACACCCGAATTATCTCACTTACGCCTCGCCATCCTGAAAAGTACCTTAAAAAGGGCCCAGCATATGTTGATGGGAACTGCACGTATTTTGCTGGAAAGGACTTCATTGATTTCGGAAGTGTTGATTGGAGGACCGTGATGAAGAAACATGGCGTAACTGATCTGAGTCGAGTTCTTATATTTTTCGACGATCATCAGAATGAACTAAAAAGGTAGCTTCAATATTAACAACTACTCAACTAGTAAACCTCTTGGTTTTTGTTTTGGGTTTCACATAGGGCTGTTCATCCAAACCGCACAAACCCCCCACACCGCTTCTCAAAGCGAGGTTTAGAACATCCGTGATGCGGTTTGCGGTGCATTTTTATCAAACCGCACCGCATATTTTATATATTTCTAGTTTTATATATAACACGCATATATATATAGAAAGAGAGAGAGTGAATACTTGCTAATTTATGTAATATTTTTAATGTATTTTCTCCATGGTCCATTAATAATTCTAAAGTTTTGGACTTTGATTCATAATATTAATCAAATATAGCTCAATAATCTATTAGACACTTTTAAGCTTTAAGCAAACATCCAAGATTTTATTTTGAAATTTCAATCGCCTTCATTTAACTTCAATCGACGCCGTCTCAATTGAAACTTTTTTTTTTTTGGATTATGGTCACGTTTTCATTGATTTTATAATGAAATTTTAATCTTATAATTATTGGATTGGAGGTGTAAAATGCGATAGGTACAAACCGCATAAACCTTTGTTTGCGGTTTGAGGTGTATGCGGTGCAGTTTGCAGTTTGGCCCTAAACCGCACCAAACTGAACTGTGAATGGCCTTACATGCACCGATACTTGGGCGTTTATGCATGATTGTTTCTTCACTAAAACAACCACTCTGCTCCCTGGATAGAGGTTATCTCACAGCCAGATAACACCCTCGGGTGGGATATGTTGGGCTCATTTGCTTTGGTTTCTTTTAATACATTTCGTCGATACAGATTGAAGCAGGCACTGAAAGCTGGCTTCTCGAATCTTGTTTTTGAGGATAATTATGATACTGGAACCGGAGATCATTATTCCTTGAGACAAATATGCGATCAGTTCTATATACAAGGTTAGTTGACCCAAGCTTTATTAGCACTCTGTTAGTTTCCTTTGATAGATCCTCTTCCACCTTTCAAATTTCCATCAGGATCCAGTGGTACTCCTTATTTCCCATTTTGCAATGGGCAAATTGCATGAAAATGCAAAACTATTCGGTTTGATTCATATTTTGTGCAACACTTTCAAAACCTTCAGTTTGGTACCTCAGATGTAACATCTCAAACGATTAGGGTGTGTTTAGTATCCAGATAGGACAGAGCTCAGAACAACTGTTAAGCGTTTAGTAAGACAGAACTAGATAGGCCAGAACAAATAGAATGACCAATTTTCCCCTAATGAGTTGTTTGTATATTTTGATTAATTTATGTAATTTATTAAATTATAGTAAAATAAATGTTTTTTATAACAAAAAATATCATTAGAAAGTTTTTGTCAAGACGAATAAAATGACACCAAAATAAAAAATTATGTAGTTTCCAATTTTTATTTTATACTTTTTTCTATATTATTTTCTATTATTAATGTTTAATTAATGACATAAATTAATCAAAATATAGAAACTGTGTAAAAATAATATTTTGAGGATAGTACAGTGAAAGTTTAAAGAACATAAAATACAATAAATAAAATATAAAGAATAAATCAAATGTAAAGAGGGAGGTGTATTTGATGTTTTAGAAAAGAATTAGGTTTTATTTTGAGGTAATATTGGTAAACTGTTTGTTCCACCTTATTCCATGGGGTGGGTACACGCCTTCCACTATGTTCCACATACAAGTCTTGCTAAACGTTTGGAACAATGATCCCTGTTCTGTTCTGTTCTGTCACGTCCAGTGTACCAAATGCACCCTTAGGTACATGATTTACATTTGATATTGCAAGAAAATACAACGTAATTTGGTCTAAATGTTTGAGATATCATATCACATCTGAGGTACCAAAATGAAGGTTCTAAAACTACTTGACATTTAATAGGAATCATATCAAAGTACGTTATGTTTTCGTACAATTGCATTTCAATATACTTATGATTTAAGTTATATGAGTATTGATATCAATCTGAAATGACCTTTTTCTCCAGGAGGTGGGCATAGTTGCTTTGAAGATAGCGACGAAGCTAGGGTAAGATCGAGAAGGAAGAGCTTCTGGGAAAAGGCGGTGGATACTCGAGAACTATGTGGGCCAGGGGAAGCATGGTGGGGCGTTAGAGGATACATGCGGGATGATTTCAACCATACCAATAAGCCGATATCGCTTGCACAACATTTCCAGAACAGCAGGTTTGTATCCGTAGCTTGGTCTCTTGTTTTTTCTTTAATTTTTTTCGTTTGCAAGTTGAGTGTCCTCATAGAAATAACTTAATACTCCTCCGGATTGAGGAATGTATACTTACATCCGGGGTGGATTCAATCAAGGTTGGGGGCGTGCCCCCGCTCTTTGGGAAAAAAAATCCAGAGGTCTTAAAAGTGCACACTTTTTGATGTATTAGTTAACAAAAAGTGGTTGTAGCCCACTTGTATCATTGCATGTAGAGATGGCCAAAATGGACCGGGACCAGTTACGCTATTTACGTAAATTGCACGACCTGGCCCGAGACTGGTTATACATAGGCCCAATTTTTTTAAATGAAGACCGGTTACAAAATGAAAATCTCGGACCCCCAGGATTGGTTTTTAACCTTACTTTTTTTACAATTAGATTTTGTGTTGTTTATTATGTTAATTATTTGCTCCCCCACTCGGAAATTTTTCTAGACCCACCAATACGTAAATCCTACCCGCTACCCGCACAAGATTTACCGTGTTCGTTTGGCTCAGGTTTGTCGAATCAATACTTGATGTTTATTGGGAACTACCACCAGTAGCCGGTCCGTCACTTACTCATCAAACACGATACGATCCAGCACGTGCACCTAGTCCCATCGTGGAAGATGGACGATTCGGCTTGTTCCAAAGACTCGGCTTATCTAGACTCGAGACTTCCGTATTTAACGGGTACACTCAAATGGTTTACCTTCAGATATCGGCAAAAGAATCCTAGCATTCTGTTTACAGACTAGGCTGTTTCTTGCGGACGTCCGTGGCTGTCAATATTATGGAGACCCAGTTTGCAATTTGCAATTAGTGTGCTTTTAATATTAGTTCTTCCACTTTTCTTATTTTCCCATGATGACTTTAGTTTGTCGCCAATATGATTTATTGTTTACATTTGCAAATTGTGTCTTTGATGATTCATTGCCTGCATTTTAGAGCTAGCAACCTCTATGTGTGTTTTATTTAATCAAATACAGGATAAACATCTTATATTAAATATAAAAAATCTAAAATAGAATTACGATAATCATAGAGTTCTAACAGAATCATTATCTCTATAAAAATTAGATTGTTAATCTAAAATAAATTACTTCGTTACTAAACCTAAATTAAATTATAATAAAAAATAGAATTAAAGAAATTGTAAAAAAAACAAGAACTTTTTAAATTTCAATTTGCTATTAATACCAATATATTTTTTCAAAATTTTATGATATCTTCAAATTTATTTTTATTTAATAGTAATCTTCAAATTTATTTTTATTTAATAATAAAAACATCATATTTCTCAAAACCACATAAAACGTATTATATCAATAGAGATAAAATAAAATGAAACATTAAAATGAATACGTATCTTGTTACATTGCACGAGTACCATTATAGTATATATATAGGATTAAGTTTTTTTTGATAGGGAGGGGGGAGACCCCTCCAGATCAAGGCAAAAACACTAAAACAACAAAATACGCACTCGGGTGGGGGCGAACCACATCCACCAGAAACCAAGGCACCCAGAAGGGAAAGAAGGGGAGAAGAGGAGAAGAGGAGAAGAGGGAAGAAAAAAGGGAGAAAGAAGCAGAGAGAGGAAGAGAGACAGAGACAGAAGCCGACCACAAGGGAGGGGCCCGGTCAAGCCAAGAGAGACCGGGAAGCAACGGGGGACACCACAGGGGCAGGAAAAGGGGCCTAAAAAAAGGCACACCCTAGACCGCACCAAGAAAAAACAGGAGAGCAGAAGAGCTCACACAAAGCAGACAAAGCAGCACAAAAGAAAAACAGACGGCTAAGGGAGGTTCCAGGCAAGCCGAGCCCGGACAACGTTAGGGGAGGGCTTAAAGGTCAGGCAAAGGAGCCTGGACCGGACATCATCAGAAATAGTCTTACCAACCATACTATGCGATCTTCTCTTGCTCTTGAAGATACGGTTATTTCTTTCTTGCCACAGGTGGTAGACTGTTCCAGCAAGCACTAAGCGACGAATGATAGACCAAATGGTCTTTCCTTTTGTGACCTGCTGGAACAAACCAATAATATCATCCCAGTTATCCGGGACACCGTCGAGGTTCAGCTTGGCTTTTAAACCATTCCAGACCAGATTAGGGAAAGGGCACTCAAAGAAAAGATGCGAATGCGAATCAGGCCCGTTCTGACAGAAAGCACAGTACAGGTCGGCATGGGCCTCCCAGAACCGGAGTTTATCGTGCGTCTTGAGACGCTGCTTGAGAGCAACCCACAGAATGAAGGCATGTCTAGGGATGCTTTGGGAGAACCAGACCATATGATGCCAGGAGACATCAGGCTCATTAGGACGAAGGGAGAGCCACACCTCACGGACAGAGAAAGGAGTAAGACGGCCATCCCGAGTTCTCCAGAGGAGCTTATCAGGGGTGGTCGAAGAAAGAACAGGGAGGGGAGAGACACGAATAGAGGGGTTTGAATTGTCCCTCAGGAGAGGAGACGTCCAATTGCCCTGGGACACAAAATCTTTGACAGAAGCAGAGAGAGAAAGGTTGGAATTGAGAATATTACGGGAGGAGATATGCCGGTAAAGGGGGCCAGCCGGATGCCAATTATCATACCAGGCAGACGTGGACGCGCCATCACCAATCTGGGAGACAATGAAGTCTCTAATCTTTTCCCTCATCCCAAGGATCTTCCTCCAGCCCCAACCCACATCACTGCGTATATAGGATTAAGTTCACGTAAGACCAACCTATTCTCGTGAGTGAGACCATTTTTTTACACTTGAAACTTCACAACAAAACATTGTGAAGGTAAAAAAAAAGTCAAACATTCAAATCATTTTACTGTAAATTTTTAAGTGTAAAAAAAGTCTGGTGTTATGTGATCTCAAGTTTATATATATAATTAAAATGATAACTATAATAATGAGTCGTCGATATGTCCGAGTGGTTAAGGAGACAGACTCGAAATCTGTTGGGCTTTGCCTGCGCAGGTTCGAATCCTGCTGTCGACGTTTTTTATTCAAAATTTTTCATAACTGTTTTTTTACGTTATTACCCCTCTCTTTTCTCTCCTTTTTTCCAAACATATCAGGGTTAAAACGGTCATCAACCACACTTTCTTCATGGTCACTTTTACCCCCACTATTTCCCTCCATCCTCCCGCTCTCTCTACAAAACCATGGGTAGAATCGTAATTTCATACTACCCACAACAGATCATCTCATCCTTCCCAAATACTCGTATCTTTTGCTCGTTATCCTCATCGTTTTAATGGCGTCCTCCCTCCGCCTTCATCTGCCGTTCTCCTCTCCCTACCACCACCGTTCCGCCGCCATCCACCTCGCCGCAAAATCTATCCGCCATCTCACCATCCGATGCGGTCCACGAGACAACCGCGGGCCGCTGCACAAAGGCCGAACACTAAGCATCGAGGCAATACAAGCCGTCCAATCTCTCAAACGGTCACACCGTTCAGATCCGGCCAATAACGACGCCGTTTCCAAAACGCTCTCTCGCCTCGTGAAATCCGATGTCGTCGCCGCCTTCAACGAGCTTATACGTCAAGATCAGTTCGATCTGGCTCTCAAAGTCTTCTCAGCCATCCGATCTGAAGATTGGTACAAAACGGAGCTGTCTCTCTATGCAAAGCTCGTGTCATCAATGGCGAGTAAAGGAATGGCGGATGATATCGACCGTTTGATCCTCGATGTGGAACCGGAGGCGGTTATTTCGGCTGACTCGAAGGGACTCATAACGCTTATCAAGGCGTTGATTGCTGCTGATCGGGCTGAATCGACGGTCGTCATTTACGAGATGATGAAAGCAGGTGGATGGGGATGCAATTCTGTCACAGATGATTATTTAGGTAAGGTTTTGAGTAGGGGATTGAGGAGATTAGGGAAGAAGAAGGTAGCTGATGAGATTGATAGGGAAATTGGGAGGGTGTCAGGTGGAATTTTGGAAAATATGAGGGTTTAAACTGTAAATTTGTTAAGGAGAAAGTAAAGTTTACATTTTGGTCACCCAAATGACATCATCAAGTATGGGAACTGGGAAGGCAGATAAAACCAATTTCTCCTTGGAAGTTGAGGTAGCTTCTAGAAATGCATACAAAGTTTCAATAATTTTTATGGGTAATATGACAAAGAAATTGGCAAATTGCTTTCAAGATAAATCATATGCTTAGTTTGATGTAAATGTGATCATTTTGTGTGTTTGATGGTATTTTTGGATTGGATCGGATCAGTTTCATTGGATGTTTTGGACTGTGATCCAAGAACCGATCGATCCGATTTGGATGTTGAAATTTTGGATCTAACTCAACCCTGTTATAATTGGATATCTGATTATGGTCGGTTGGTTTAGATTTGATCTGATGACTTTCTACACACCTCTATTTAACATTTTTTGTGTAAAGGTTATAAAAAGAGAAAGTGAATGCACATTGTAACTTTGTCTTTTTTGAATATGAAGTTTGAAGTGCATTCCTTTAGTTTCTAAAATTTAAGTAATGGATCATCTTTTAAGTTTTATAATTTTTAAGAGAATGTCCAAAAATTTCATAAATTTCACGTGGGTGAAAATGGTTCGAGTTTGGTTCGAGCTTCAAACGAGTTTGAGTTTAAGAAATTGCAATCGAGTTCGAGTCGAGTACATCAATACTCGAGCTCGACTCTCATCATTTACATCCCTAGGCAGACCTATGCATATCCGAGTGGGCTAGCAACTTATTATCACGAGTAAGATTCTTTTTTGGGTGTAAAAGGTGCATTTGCTAAATATCGAGGAATGCTCTCCGAGGTATCAGAAAATATAAGAAACATCACAACAGAAAACCGAAAAAATACCTCAAAATCAAACCAAAACCAGAAAAATCTTTCGAAATCGACTAAAAACTTGAAAATCTATTGAAATCTACCAAAAAAAATTGAAGGACTGTTTACTCAAATGATTATCCAGTAAGTATTACCGATACGAGTCAACACTATAATTTATTTTGATGCTTAAGATTTTAGTACATCAAAATATATCGAATGTAACAATTTACCGGGTAAACGCTTACCTAAGCAATAGTCGTCATCTTCACTTACCGGGTAAGACTTTCATTCTTCTTATCGCTTTTACCCTGTAAGATTATTGTTCATCCAATGAGGAAATTTATCCGATAAACACTTACCAAACAAAAGTTTAGTAAACAGTCGTAAGAAAAGGTGAGATTCGCTAAAATTACATCGAACGATTTTACACATCTTTGATTCACCTTGTGAAAAGTTGCTAATCGATCAGCCGTTGACGTGGAATGAAAGCAGTGGTTTGCATGTCTTTTTATCTTGAGGTTTTCAAAAAAATAAAAAAAAAGGAAAATTATCTCCAAGACTCCCTCCCTTCCACCGTGAAACTGAAAACCATCTCTAGATTGGGGTCTCACGAACCAAAGCATACACGTCTTTTCGATTTGCAGGTCGGCCGGCGTCTCAATTCCGTCTTTCTCAGTTTCCGGCGCCGGTGTGCCATTTCTGTAATCGTAGAAAAATATATACACACACACAAATTTCATACGATGCGAGAAACCCTAGCGTCAACGTCGTCTTCGTCGTCGTCGACCAATGTTATTCCACCGGCTGAATCAGCTTGGGTTAATACATACGAAAGATTATCACCTCGTTGGCAATCCGTCGCCCTTCCTCCTCAGGTATTGATTGTTTTTAATGTTTAATTTGCTTTCTGTGACTGTTAGTTCATAAAGGATAAGACACAGATTATGTTTACGTGTGGTGAGAATGGAGTTTCATGTATGGAATTCGCGGATTACAATTATGTTAGTTCGAGTTTTCTTGGGTAGAAGCGTAAATTATAGTTTTAGGCCATGAAATCGGAGTTCCTAAATTTTTCCTGGCTAGATTGGCAATTTCTGCTTCAGATTGTGGTGATTAGGAATGTTCTGTTGAACTAAATAAGTAATCTCAGATTATTGGAAAGAAAATCAATGTTTATGATCTCATATAAACACAGCATCGACGTTCCAGGAGACAGTTAATGTTTTCACTTGTAATCCTGTCGGTACATTTTGGAGAATGCGTTTCTAAATTAGTAATTGGATAGAATCAGGAAGCTATAGATACCTGGATGTAATCTTTACCTGTGGAGGTCAGGGGTTATAAGTGGTTGCACATCCATGAAGGGTTTCTTGTCTCATCTCTTTGCAAACCTCCTCCTTTTGTATCAACATGAATGAATAATGTGTTTGCAAATTCTCTGCAGTCTGCAATTCCAATTGTGATATCCAGAGTTAACCAGGTCGATGCTGGGAGGCTTGATGTTGAAATGTCAGCCATGTTGAAAGAGCAATTGGTTAAGGTTTTCTCTGTAATGAAGGTATATCACATAATCCAGGTTTTGTTTTTTGTTTTGCATTTAAACTGTTACCATTCTTATCTATTTGCGATTAGCCAGGATTGTTATTTCAGTACGAAGCTGAACTTGATGCTTTCCTCGAGTTTCTCATCTGGAGGTTTTCCATTTGGGTTGATAAACCTACTCCTGGAAATGCTCTCATGAATCTGCGATATAGAGATGAACGTGCTGTGGAAACGAGAGGAAAGAGTAAGTGGTTTCAAATACGCTAGTATGTTAATTGATTGGGAATACATGACTTAGTTTCCTTTCATTTTTTAGGTCTGTATTTGTAACCATAAGTGTTTGGTAGTTGACATCTCCTATCAGCCATTTTTTGTTAATTTTCTCATGAGGTTACTAATACTACCATTGATGTTCAATCTTTAATGCTACATGTTATCAGAAGTTCCACTCAAATTTCAGGTGTACGCTTGGTAAGTTGAGTTAAAAAAATCTGTTGTATTTGTATAAAGAATATAAAAGGGAATATGAAACGTAGATTTGTTACCTTATCCAGTTTTGATGATATATTACCATGCGAGTGGGCTAGTAGCTGCAGTTTAATACACTTTCATCTTCAATTTCACCCATGTATCTTCATGCTTGTTTGTACCCTATATAGTGGTTGGTCATTGAGGTATGCTTTCTTAATTGCCAAAGGAATAATTCAGAGGAGGTGCAAGGATATGTTTGCTTGAGAAAGTTGACATGTTCGCATGCTTTAGGATCAAGGGGTGCTTACTGCAGGGGATGGGCCACGGGTGTGGACTTTGAGAGAGAAATCCAGAAGGGGTAATCCCTTGTTGGCAGGTATTTTGGGCCTAGGCTTGAAGGAAAATTAAAGAGGGGTCTCCTTATAAACTGTAGCACTGTAGTCTGGTTTAATTTTAGTAGAGGTCCTAGGGGGATTTCTGCTTCCTGGTTGATAAGTTGTGTGTTCGGTGGATACATGTGGATTTTTATGAGGCAATGCTTGATAATAGCTCTATACGATGAGAATAGATCCTCTCCAGTTTACTTGATAGCTGGAGGATCTTTATTTCTTTTCACCACAATACCCAACACCACCCATTAGCCCTTCCAGTGATTTAGATAGAAAGCATGCATAACTCACATATGACCTAAAATCTGGCTAATGCTGTTCACCTTTGACCGTTTGAATTTGGCACACTTTCCCACAAGTTTTCTGGGTTCCTACTGTTCCATGGACGAGTCAGCCAACTGGGTTATTTGTTCCTCATCAAATTTGATGATAATCAAGAAACGGATGATGAATAGGAGTTGGAGGTAGAGACTTCCAGTATATTTCAGATCAGCTGTTCTGGTTGTTTGGTATCTGGAAAATTGATGATGGTGAATGAGATTAAGAAATTTTAAGGTTCGGGAAAAATGAAGAAAATGATAATGAGTGAACGTGTTAGGTAAATCTTAACCGCTAGGTGATGGCTGGCCATACTGAACAGAACTGAAGATCCTTTGTTTCATAAGAAACTGAAGAGGATCTGCTCCTCTGGACTACGTACTGCAGTACAGAGCACATACCATTAAACAATGAGAAATTTGTTTAGTGGTTATGTTAGCTTAAATGGATTATGAGTTCTTTCACCCACACTGCCTCAACCTCATGCTTGTTCTTTTCATTTACTTTTAACTTTACTCTATAGTTCATACTGATATGGTTTCTGCCATCAGGCTTTCCCATTTGAAGTAGAACTAAATTTATATACCCTCCTATTCTTGTGGTTGCTTTATTGCAAATATTTGCACTTTGTTAACTACAAAACCATAAAGAAGGTATAACATAATCCCTGGTGCAAATTAAAGTTCCACTGCTGGGTTCTAGTGTATTAGTTGTGTACTTATATCTTTGCAGCTAGTTATATAATAATTAAAAGCTCTTTCTTACTGTCTTTAAGTAAATGCTTAATTTTATTCTGCCTGCTGAAGCATGTCTTACATCTCTATTAATTCCAATGTCCAGTTAGAACAGGCTTGGAGGGACCTGGGCTCACCATTGCTCAGAAATTATGGTATTGTATTGCTACAGTTGGTGGCCAGTATATCTGGACTCGTCTACAGTCTTTTTCTGCCTTTCGTCGTTGGGGTGAATCGGAACAGGTATCTGATATTCCATCTAAACATGGTCGAACCTCATCTCTCTCTAATCGCAAACGGTCCCTTCATATTATAATAAATAAATTAGGTGTTTGAGGAAGAATAATTAAAATGTGAAGGATCAAATTTTCATTTTTTACTCCCATTTCTTTCTCACCCCTTTTTTCCATTGGCAGAGGTCTGTGGCTAATCGAGCTTGGTTTATAATACAACGTATTGAAGGATTTTATAAAGCTGCATCTTTCACCAATTTGCTTATATTTCTTTACACTGGGAGGTATGCAATGAACTCCAAGCTTCTTATTTTGGATGGTTATGTTGATGTATTATTTAGTGCTGCTACCACGAATGGAGAACTTCTGTTTTAAGTGGCTTAATTTCATCATAAGATGCTACTAAACGGCAGCAAATTTTAATTGGAATATGTGCATATAGCAAGTCGATGGTTTCTGCTAAGACCATATCACTGTTTTACTGGACCCCAAAATTGAAAAAAAATAAAAATACTGTTCAAGTGTGCCAGGGGAGATACAGCAACAGGGTTGTTTGTGAAGGGTTGGGTTCCGGTGAGAATGAGAGTTATGGTGAGAAGGGATCTCCACCCTTGGATCAATTTTAATTGATGAGTTCCTCTAGATCAACACTAATGAGAAGCACCGGATCAATTTCCTTCTAAATCCCAATTCATGGGTTGGTTTGAGATTAAAAGTGATCAAGCCAAATCCCTTCTCATACTTCTCACCTTAACTCCTGTTCTCGGGCAAGATCACAGAGACTTGGGAGCAGTTTTTAAAAACCAAAAGACAGTATTCAGATTTTAACATACAAAGGGGGTGGAGGTGTAATAGGTCAAGAGACAAATAAAGATGGCGACAAGGAATCATCCGGCAATGATGATGAGCATGAGTGCTTCTTTCTGGGTTTCATGTGAGAGGGGGGGGGGATAGTGTTCTAATGAATAATAACTCATACTTGCGAGTTTTTAACAAATTTGAGCGATGGGTTATAGCCTGTACAATTTACATATAAAAATTTGGGTAAATTATATATTTTTCATATCCTCACCATACTCATACCTCTATTTCTTAAGATTCTTGAGTATCGTTGTTCCTGTAGGACGCATTGAATACCTGCACCCGTGTCCTTGCTTCATAGGTCACATAGAACCTGCTTAAATGCACTTTATAAGCCGGTGATGCCAAATGATAACGTGCGTAAGTGTGAGCCTGACATTTGACATGGCTGCAGTAGCTTGGGTTCGCATGAAAATATTGGGGCAGGGCTTGTTTGTCTGCATAGTGTGTAAGGGCTTAGCTTTGCTTCATATTTGTGAACTTTTTGCATCATTGAATATGGCACCTATTTCAATTAGTTCAAAATATTTGAACCTTCACATCAACACTTGATTATTACTCTGCTATATATTACAGGTACAGGAATCTTATTGAGCGAGCTCTACGAGCCAGACTCGTTTATGGGAGCCCTCATATGAACCGTGCTGTTAGCTTCGAATACATGAATCGTCAGTTAGTCTGGAATGAATTCTCGGTAAATTTCATTCTTATTTGACTATCACATCAATATATTTACCCTCTTGGATTCACATCATCTCTCTCACTCTCTGTATGCATCTTTCAAGGCGCTGCCATATTTGCCAAAAAAACCTTTAGTAATTTCTTGGAATTGATTTTTTTGGAAGAAAATGTGTTTCAGTGCATTCTATGTAGGTAGTATATAAAAGATAAAGTAGTATTATTATATGTATAGGGTGGGTTCCGGTGAGAATGTGAGTCATGGTGAGAAGGACAAGAAGGGATCTCCACCCTTGGATCAGTCCTATAAGAGTTCCACTAGATCAACCTAATGAGAAGCACTGGAAATTCATGGGTTGGTTTGAGATTAAAATTGATCAAGGGTCCAAATCCCTTCTTACACTTCTCACCTTAACTCCTATTCTCACACGATCCTTCATCTATATGTGTATATATGGTGAGTCTTTTCCTTGATTAAATTCCAAACAACCATTTTTTGACTTGAATCCATTACAATTTCTTGATTTCCGTTGGGTTGCTTACTGTCCTTGGATGCACCCATATCACCTTAGGGCTCGTTTGGTTTGTGTGATTTGGTGGGATTTGGAATTGGATTCTGTTCCAATCCCACATTTGGTTTAAAAGAAAGTCCGGAATTGAAATCCAGGATTTCAATGAAATCCCACAAACATTGAATTTAGAAATTCCATTGGGGGTAGTTGGTATTTCACGGGCTTTGATAGGATTTGTTTGTAATAATGTTCTAAAATGTGTTAAAAACATCCTTTTTGTAATAGTAAATTAATAGAAATCAATTTAATTATTTTTATAAATTACCTATAAAGAATGAAATTGAATTTCATTCCAAATCCTACAAACCAAACACACAAAGATTCCAAATCCTTTCATGAAATCCAAATCCCTTAAAACATTCCGTCAAAACCAAACGCTCTTAGTTCTTTTAAGTAATGGATCCCCTTTCAAAAAGATGTTCCATTCATCATAAATCTTGTAAAGCATAATTAAAAAGTTATGATGACCACGTTTGTGCTCAACTTTGGATTGCAATTGGTGCTTTGACAAAAGTGCAAAGCACAGTCTGATCTGAACATCTATGGTTTGGTGGCATGCCGTTTTAGGAGTTTTAGCCTACCATGCATTTTTTAATCTGATTTTTAGCCTGTCTTTGAGAAAATATGGGTGCGATATATATTCAATAAACTTAGTTCGGCATTTAATACAATCTACTTTCAAGAGTTCCATCCCTTGAAATTAAATGTTATAAACTCTATAAAAACGATAAAACTCTATAAAATCAACAGTTCCATATTCAGAGTTATTACAACGGCTCGATGAGCTTGAGCCTTGTCTTGCAGATTGTGAATGGTAGCAAACAATGATTTCTCTTCCACTGTTTCCAGATAGTACAATGTTTTGTTATTACCCTGTTTCCCAAGTTGACTGGAAGCATTGGGATTAAAAGAACTTTACACTTCATGGGATTTATGGGCTGTTTACTAAACGCTAACCGGGTAAGCGCTTACTGGGTCACTTACCTTATTGGCTGAGCATGGCAAGAACCGATAATCTTAACTCTTAAGAGGCATAACAAGGACTGAGGTTCTTAGTCGGCAAGTGAGGGTGGTGACTCTTACCCGGTTAGTGCTTACCGGTAAGATTGTTGCTTACTATGCCATTTTGATGCCGAGAATGGAGAATCTTATCCCGTTAGGTAAGTTAGGGTGACGACTTTTACCAGTAAACACTTGGGGTCTGTTTGTGAGCAGCTTAATGAGCTTAATAAGACTCGCAACTTATTTGGTAATCTATATATAACTGTTTGGTAGCGACTTAATGCTATAGAAAGTGGCTTATTCAGTAAGCTTCTAGGGGGGAGCTTTATTCAAAAAGCCAAGTTTTTTTTCCAAACCTGCCCCTCCCATTTAAAAAAAGCTCCTTCCATCTATGAGAAAACCCTCCAAAACAAAATCCTTCTCCATCTATAGAGACGGATTAGTCAACACAGACAATTTTATTCAGACAGGACTTAATGGATAACCAACCAAACCGCACCTGATTATCATTCGGTAAATGGCCCTTTAGCTTGAGGGTCCTCATTCCTCAGCAGCTTCTTAATTTTCAACAAATAAGGTTATGGGGGGTTCTCTAGGTATAATATCTTTCAAGTAGATAGATCACAAGATGGGATGTGGGATTAATCTATTCTACCGAGAAATGGTGGTAGTCCCTTTGAAGTGTAGGTGACAGTTATCTATGAGCAAAGAGGGTAACTTTCAGGTTTTCAAATAACATTATAGATGATTATTTAGTACTCCCTCCATCCCAAAATAGATGTCCACAATGAGAAGGACACAAATATTTAGAAATATGTAATTATTCACTTTTTAGTTAACTAAATGACAATTTTACCCTTAATAATAGGAGTTACAAATTTCTCCATCTTATGGTTAAGGGTAGAATTGGAAAGTAGGAACTTACTATTGAAAGTGGATACTTATTTTGAAACAAACTAATATAGAAATGTGGACACTTATTTTGGGGTGGAGGAATTAAATTCGGTTATCTATTTCTAGTTCTGATTAAGGATAGAAACGGGGCAGGTAATGCATCCCTCGTCCCCGTCCCGACCCCCGTTTAATCCCCCTGTCTCCGACCCCGCCCCAACTAATCCTCAACGCGTTCGGGAGGGGGTACCCGTTTTGTAAACAACAATAAAAACAATGTATTCTAAAATTAAAATTATAATGAATGTCACTACATTAATTATCAATATTGAAAATTAAATATATTTTTCATTTGATAATAAATTATACATATATTTATTTATACACACCATATACATATATTAAATAAAATAAAAAATTTAATCGGGGGTTGATTAGGGGAGGTACTGCTATCCCCGACCCTGCTTCGGGTGTGAAAATAAATCCCCGCCCCTACAGCCCTACGGGTAAATTCACATCTCTAGTCTGATTATCAAGTTCTCCTGTTTATAAGTTTATGGATAGATATGTAAATCCTCCCAAGTCTGACCATGCCGTCCTGATTATAACTTTGCAGGAAATGTTGCTGCTACTGCTTCCTATTCTGAATTCGTCTTCCATCAAGAGTCTTTTTCGTCCATTTTCCAAGGATAAGTCTTCAGGTTCTGCCGGGGATGAAACACTGTGCCCAATCTGTCAGGCCAATCCAACGATCGCATATGTAGCTCTTCCTTGCCAGCATAGGTACGTTACTATTCATCAGAGTTTCTCTTTTTGATGCTTTGCCTCATTATCGTAAGTTTGAAGGTTCTGGCATGTGGATTACTTATTGTGTTCAATCATCATATGCATAGATGGCCAAAATGGGCCCGGCCTGGAACCGGAACCGATTGGGACCGGGTCTGTAACTGCTTATGGATCTTAATGGTTTTTACAAAAATTCAAGGCCCGGCCCCGGACTGGGACCGGGACTGGTTATACATAGGCGCGGTTTAAAAAAAAGTAATTTTTTTATACTTTAGAGTGAATTACTTTTTTCGTCCCTGTGGTTTGTTAAAAGTTACGAGTTTTGTCCCTATGATATAGAAATTGCAGTTTTCGTCCCTATAGTATGTAATTAATTGCTATTTTCATCCTTGTGATTTACAATTTATTGTTGTTTCGGTCCCTGTGGTTTACAATTCTTTACTGTTTTGGTCCATAGTACTTCAAAGGTAGAAACTAGTTCAGGGACGAAAAATAGCAATAAATTGCAACCATACGGAAGAATGTCACAATTTTTAAACCACAGGGACGAACGAGAATCGTAATTTACTCTAAATAATATATCAAGCTTTTCAAGATTTCTACAAGATTTTCGAGTTTTTTTTTCCACCAAAACTTTTAAGTTTATTTTAAGTTTTCCAAGTTCTTTTGGAAGTTTTTCAATTTTCTTATAAGTATTTCAATACTAAATTCTAAGAATCGTAATTATAAAAACATGTACAATTTTTTTTTTCTAAAAAATATTTAAAGTGTATTTGAATGACACAATTAGAGATTTTAAAGTGTATTTCATTAAGATTTTGTCAAAAAAAGAAAATCTCAAACAAGACTTTCTATATCTTCATAATTACTTTTTGGGGAAAAAAACTTGGACCCGACCTGGGACCGGTTCTAAGGACAGGTTATGGTTAAAGGAGATCGGGCGATGGGTTTTTGGTAGGTATTAGTTACGAAAAGGAAATCAAGGAATGGGACTGATTTGGGCTCGAAATGAAGACCTGGACAAGAGCTCTTGAAATTTTCTTTTATTTCCTTATCATTTTGTCGTACCAAACACACCGTGGTGGGTGGGTAGGTAGTAGGGTCTAGTCACTGGTTTGCCAATTGGTTACTGAGTTGTTGATGCATAAACTGTTGAAAGTTGGAGATGGTCTCACGCTAAGCGTCCATTCTCTGGGTCTTGGGTTGGGAAGCCATGGCTAATGATACCAATTTGTTATGAACCCAAATCAAGCATCTAACAGATGATGAAATGAACGGGTAGATTGCTGGAATTCAATACCGAACAAGAGGTTTCTGGCTACTCCTAAGAAAACACACATTAATTTCTTGATACCTTTACTCCCCTATTTATACTAGACTTATAAGTAACTACCCAATATACCCTTTTTAACAACCCCTTCTAGAATAACAAGTATGGATGGGATTGGGTTGGGCCTAATGTGGGTGCATAACATTAACCCCCC